AGGGAGCGCCGACGAGTTCCCAGCCGGGCGCCTCCCGCGGGGCCGCCCCCGCCTCCGTCTTTGGGAGCAACAAGAGGCCGGTATCGCCGCCACAAAAGCTGACCAAGTTACGGCCTGGGCACGCAGAATTATGGCTGGGGAATACCGAGAGAGTTGCACGGAGACGGAGGAGATTACAACCGCCCAGACGCCTCTGTAACGTGCTGCGCCGTGCCCGTTTCGAGGAAGTAACACGTTAGACGCTGGTCTAGGAAAGAGTCAGAAAATTATGCCTTTCCCTCAAGGAATAAGGGCAAATATTTGCGTCTTGGCCAGTCTCGCGTCAAACGCGCAGATGCTGTCTTTCTGCCAGAAATCATTCGCATCGTTTTCCCAAAGCAAACCCCCTGAAGTTCCTTCGCAGCAATCCATGTCAAGCATGGTAAAACAACAGAAAAACTGCAAACGAGTATCACCCCTAAAGTCATTATGTTTCCCTTTGTTAAATGATATAGGCCTAGCTTGCAAGTACTGTACTATAATGAGCCTATCCAACACCACCACAAGGGACTAAATAGCATGCTTTCTGCAAGCAGCCAACGCACCAGGACAACGCTTGCCAGTATCTGCTAAGAGAAGCTCCCAGTCCTATCACACGCTTTGTACAAGTCCGGTTTCATTACGTGGGGTAGAAGGCCCTTCGTGCCCGGTTATTGATGTTCACGCGTTCTGCAGTTTCCAGACCCCTGAGATAAATAACGTACATCGACTTGCAGAACCTGCTAGGAACAGGAAAGCGGGAAAGGAGCTCGTAACAAAATACTGGTAGCAAAAAGGAGTACTCCAGGTTAACTCTCTCCTGTAGATTTACAAACGTGGTGAACTGAGGTTTCAGATCCAAAAGCCTGCTGAATTCTATTCTAACAATTGTATTACGCTCCCAATGGTTAGGCAATAGAACAAGAATAGTAGCATTCAGTGCTACTGACGTTTGGCAGAACTGTAGGCAATTTGCTGCCCCGAGGTACGTCAGAAGTTGCATCTAATGCTGAAGTTGCTCAGAGTTAGGAGCTCAGCTTGATCTTCCCAATAAATGCATGTACACAAACTTAACCGAAGTGAAAGCTGCTGCATCTCACTGCCAATCAAAATCTACAATGGTGTTTTCACCTTGAGTCCCAAAGCCTCACAGGATGCACAGTCCTACCATTTCTGGAATCCAGAGTCTCCTCCTGGCTGTTACCTGCCTGCTTTAGAAAACAGCCCTGAGGAGTAGCTAGTGTGTGAAGTACTTTACAAAGTTACCTCACTAATTGAGGCTTTGACTATCGGCTCCACAAAGACACCCACTCTTGGTTCTTGTTGACGTGCCATCATGCCTCAGGCAAATAACTGACTCTTTGTTTGCCACCACTTACGGGAGTTGTAACAATGTTTGGTATGAAGCCCTGTTTTCCCCCTTAGGGAGAAAGGGATTTTTCCAAATGCAGTCCTGTTAATTCTTGGCAGCACCTGAAGAATCAGCAGCTCTCAGCTGCTGTATTTTACTCCTTTGTCCAGAGGGCCACGACACCAACCGACCAACCAAGCCCCCAAAGCCCACACCGTTCCGGCTAGCTTCCACTACTCGTGCTAGAGCACATGAGCTTCCACGACTTGTTTTGGCCGCTTTCCTTACCAGATCAACACGTGCTCCAAGTCTCTCACGCGTCTACTTGTTTCAGCTATGTCCTATGTGATAGACTTGGCCTAGCAGATAACTTTAGTTTAATTCTGTCTTTTGTGACAGGTCTGTATGAAGCCTGGCACTAACTGTTGAACAAGGGGGTGGAGTAGAATTTATCTGAAAGACAACTTTTTAAACTACCCAAATTACTAGGGTGAGTTCTGCATCGACTGTCTTGAGCTTCAAGACCTCTCAATATTCACCAGTCACTTTGTTTTATAAAGAACCGCAATTTAGACCATCTGATTTTCACACACACCAACTTCTTGTGCGAGTAATCAGTTCATTTAAAAAGAAACTTATTTTTCTAACGTTTTCCTTTGTTTCTTCTTTGGGAGATCTACCTGAAAATTAATTGGTTCAAATTTCTGGTTAACTATCAGGTTGCAGTACTATAGTATTTTGAATCTGAAATATATTCACAGTCTTACTTGAATTATTCTAAGTCACAAAACATACAAAGTTTAGAATCATAGGTAAGCGAGTTGTAATTCATCTAAAATTAATTTTTTCGAATTGTCATTAATTTTACAATAGAGCAGAGGCAACACAACCGCTCAGGATCATTATTTTCTTTACTAAGACAGGCTGATATCTGTTTCCTCCCCATCGAGGCTCCCGCTTCAGGGAACGTGCGGAGTTCATAAGAGTGACCTCCCCTACAAAAATTCTGGCTTTAAAAACCCATGGTAGGTCTTTGCCTAGAGCGTACTGAAAGACAGATGAGAAGACACATGACATTAAGTGGCTTAAAGAAGCGTGCTATGCTCACATAAATAACTACGGTCAGTTGACGAGGCCAATGTCTTCAGCTCTGCTATTCAAAAGATGCATAACTGGCATCTCAAGGCATTGGAGACTGCTTCATTAGGGGAGGTCCAGGTGATAGGCAGAGGTGAAGGTTGGAAGTAACTCGTGTTATAAGGCAGAGTGATCTCACTCACAATAGAATTTTTTTTGTTGTTGTTTAGCATATGATGAAGGCTATGAATTCTCAACCCTAAAAACTCAATTTCCAATTCTACATCCCTCATGCTCATTTCAAGAATCCAATATTCAGAAACCCATCTCCTCTGCAGCTCTCTTGTTGGCGCACCCCAACCACTCTAGGCAGCCAAACCCATTCCTTAGCCCGAGGTGCTCCCCGGGTGTTCATTTCACAGCCACGTTCTCCACTAACTTCAGACACTTTCAGCCTCTAAAGCCTTTCTTTTCCTAGCTTCAGGCAGAGGCTTCTGTACAGTCATCAGACAGTAGCAACCTAAGTGTCTTCACCTGAACTGCAGCATTAAGAGGCCAGGGCTCGCTCCAGGAATGGCTGCGGGGGGTGGTGCATTCCAGGCAAGCCCAGGCAGAGCAGGATATGCTGAACTCAAACAGCAGTATTGGATGTTTACAGGACAGCTCTGCAGCATACAACACACAACCAAAAACATCTTCTTTCCTCAGATTTTCCTGATTTCTGATGAACTGCAGTCATCCACTAATGCTGCCTCTTCAGCAGCGTTAGCCAGAGGCAACGCGCGCAGATTGCTTCTAAGCTTACACTCCAACACCATCCTAACCACCAAATAAATCTCTGTTATTTTCACATTCAGATAGTTGCTCCCCAGGCCCTCGCTTGCTCTTAATTTAAATAAACTCTTTTAACATTTGTGCCTCAGTAACAGACGTCCTTTCTCCTCAGCCAATCCTGGCAATATGTCTTTAAGAACTAGTTGTTCATTAGTAACAGATCCAGCACCCAAGGTAGGCAGGGGAGAAATAAAATCTTTTTCTCACCACCTCTAAAAACCACTTGGTGGTTACAGCAATTACAACGCCGCGAACCTACTACCAAGAACACACGTATGAACGCTTTGCCAAGAAGCACGTAAGAATCCCGTTCAAAGATTCACCACCTTGTGAAGCTGTGCCTGCTCTCAAATTTGTTAGAGGGAGGGTGGCACTCTTCAAGCAGACAGGAAACAAGATAAAGCACAGGAAGGAAACACTCGCTATTGAAATTACCGCTCTGAATCTTGACTGCTAGCTCTAGACAGTCACGTTGCCCTCGCTCGACTTTCGGGAAACACCGAAGCTAGTGAAGCAGCTGAAAACGAACAAACGCGGCCCCCAGCCCCATCAACTCTTTCGCCGGCCCCAGCGTTTCGCCGCCCTCATGAGCGAGCACTCGCCACCCAGAAGGGCTCCTGTCTGCCTGCAGGCGCAAGGGTCGCCGCCGCCAGACAGCTTTTCCTCGCGCCAGGAGGCCGCGAGAGGCCCCTCGGGGCCAAGCCAACCCTCCAAGC